AAATAGTGCACTAAATTTGTTTAGAAGTTATTTAACTAATAGAAAACAAAATGTAAAGATAAAGGAAACTCTAAGCAAACATCAAGTAATTGATTGTGGTGTGTCACAAGGAACGGTGTTGGGTCCCATTCTATTTACCATATATATTGACGGTTTATTCTCTGTCCAAAGTAGTGGCAAAATAATAAGCTTCGCAGACGATACAGCCATATTCTTTAAAGGCAGTAATTGGGCGGAAATTAAAAATAATGTAGAACAAGATCTGGAACATATTAAAGAATGGTTTGATTATAAACTCTTATCGATAAATTTTAAAAAAACATCCTACTTACCTTTTTCAAGTTACAAATCTACACTACCATGTTTTCCATATATTACAATTCAAAATGAAATTAATATATTGCCTGCAAATAAAATCAAATATTTAGGAATTATATTGGACAATCATTTAAGGTGGAACCTACATATTGATTACGTCCTAAAAAAATTACGTACGGTGTTATATAAGTTTAGGCAAATTAAAGATTTTACAGATCAGAAACAAAAAAAAATTATTTATTATAGTCTAGTCGAGAGTCATCTGGCATATGGAATTCTGGGTTGGGGTGGAGTATCCAAAACCTACCTACAACCTCTTGAAGTAATGCAGAAAAAATTCCTAAAATTCTTCTCAAGGAAACAACATATCCAAGTGAACTATTATATGCTGAAACCGAAATATACGATATTAGGCAGCTATTTTATAAAAATGTCAATATTAGGCAATATTCTGAAAAACATAAATTGCTCACACTCACTCATGGATATTCCACCAGGCAATATCATAAATTTATTAGTCCTTTAATGTATAAAGCAGTAGGTCAAAGATGCTATCAGTATTTAAGTCCAAAATTCTTCAGCTCATTACCAGAGGGCTTACAAACAGAAAAAACAATATACTCTTTCAAAAAGAATCTAAAACTATACATAAAAAATTTACCTAAAACAGAAATCCACAACTTGATTGACTAATAATAAAAGAAAAGTGCATCCTGTGATCATTTAACACAGACGTAGACACAAATTATTTTGAATGTCTTGTATTTCGTATATTAAATTAGTCACGTGTATTATATTTTATTTATATTATGTGTTAGTAGTAGTTTAGACATATGTATATAGGTGTGTTTATGTGGGTATGTGTATGTATGTATGTATGTATGTATGTATGTATGTATGTATGTATGTATGTATGTATGTATGTATGTATGTATATGTATATGTGTATATGCGTGTGCGTGCGTGCATGTGCGTGTTTGTGTATGTATGTGTATATTACACCTTATTATAGGTTATATTTCTCTTTTATTTATATGTTATATTTATATTTGTTATTCAACAATCATTCCTCATGTAACTTCCTCATGCACAGGCGTAAGCTTCTGTGAGGATATCTTTTTCCTGTTTATCATTTGATTGTATTGATAATTAGTCCTTGCTTTAAGTAAATATAAGTATTATTAATTTTATTGTGATTACTGCTCTTCTTTAATTTGTATACTTATGTATAAAACTTACTATTATTTACAATAGCATGTACAATTTTTATGCACAAATAAATGGGTATTATTAATTTGATAGTAACTCGAGGCGTCGCAGAAATTAACATAAATTTAATACAAAATTTAACTTCATTTATTGAACAAAACAATTTATACGTCTAATGTCCTAAATTATACAGTGGTATATACTGCTGTAAGGAAATAAGAAGCAAGGCAGTGCGTAATAGATATAAAACCTGATATGCTGTCCTCGTAAATTAGCGTGACGATAGTCTGCATTTCGGATGTCAGCTGGTCGATTGTCGGTATCTCCCGAATTTATAGCAGCTATTCGACACAGTGTATACGAAAGCGAACTCAATGTTTGAATGAATTATTACAACCACGAGATTGCGCTATGTACGACATCCAATTAGACGGCCGTAATTTGTGTTAATAAATGGCGTACCAATCATTATTAATTTAACGCCTACTGCTGGTAAAATTAACATTCTTAACGCGCGAGTCCGTTCTTCCCGTTAACCAGAATCTGTAGAGGAACTTTGCATACTAACGAAGGACGAAGGACCTCTGGGCTTATTTATAACTTAATCATTATCATTTATAACTTTTAGAATAAATTAAGCCGAGAATATTCAGCACAGTAAGAACAAAAATCTACCGCTAACATCTTTACTAGATTTTAAATGATTACCTCAGTAACTAATACTTCAGAATATGAACAGTGGACATTGACCTCAATCGAGACATATTCGTGCTAACTTGATTTTTGCACGGTATGTTCGTATGTTCTGTACTTTGTATTAGAAGTCCCCATTAATCATAATGTGGGAACAACTTCAAAATGGCGTTTTTATACAAGGTGCTTCGAAATTCTTGGCCAATATCCAACAACGTATTGTACTCATCAAAGTGAGGAAAATAGTTCGTGTAAATGTATCACAGTAAACAGTAATCAGTAGCTTATCTCTCTGGCGGTCCCTTTGATGCTTTGTTCGCCGCTCCGTGACCTCGGCCACAGGAAGACAATACGTCCATCGCATGCTGCGTCGTAGTTTTAGGATTTTTCCATAAGCGTACCAGGGATAAAAAATATTATTTTAGTTTTATGTAGTTTTCCATTCTATACGTATTATAGGATGTATACAGGGTGTTCTAACATAATGGCATTCTAAACTGTATTTTACTATTGAAGAAACAATAGTAATGGAGTAACATAAATATATGTGACATACAGTGTGTCTCACTTAAGAGTCTAACAGCGTAATAATTCTTTTGTTTTTTGTCCGATTTAAATCAAACTGGTTTCAAAAGGTAGAGGTCACCAAGGTCTATTTAAGACCACAAAATCACTTTCCATCTTTAAATGCAAGGCCATCTACGGTGCTAAATTATATGAAAGAAATCAAAAAATCATAGTAGGCATTTTTTAATCAAAAAATTTTGTTAACAAAACTTGTTCGAAGTCATTCAAAAACCCTGAATCCAAAGATTAGTTAAATTCTAAAAAAAATTGGGTTTTGATGAAAAAAATCATTTTAGGCATTTTAATAAAAATTGTTTCTAAATTTATTTTTTTGAAACACAATTTACACAAATGAATAATAAATACAACCAAAAGAATTAAACATTATGTTCTATCGAACCTCCATCAGCCCTAATGCATGCCTTAATTCGCTTTCTGTTGTTGTTCCTAACTTTTCGGAGGGTTGCAGGCGTAATTTCAGCGCAAGCTTGCCTAATCCGGTTTTCCATTTGTAGTCTATTTCGTGGCTGCGTTTTGTAGACTTCATTCTTTAGAAACCCCCATAAAAAAAGTCCAAGGTCGTGAGGTCAGGTGACCTCGTGGGCCAATTAATAAAAGGGCTATTTCTTTCAATCCTCCTCCGGGGAAAGTTGTCGTTTAGCCAATTCCGTACTACCATTGCATTGTGGATTGAAGTTCCATCAAGTTGAAATATCAGATTGTTGTATGCAATAAGGGGCAAATTTTCAATTTCAATTGAAAATTCAGTTTGTAAAAAAAATTAGAAGACGTTCCGCATTTAAATTTCCCTCAAAGAAATATGGCCCAATTATTTGTTCATTCAAAATACCGCACCACACATTCACCTTTTCTGAATACTGGCGTCGACAGTTTACAACCCCATGAGGGCTTTCAACAGACCAATTTCGAGTATTTTGAGAGTTAACTGTGCCATTAGTTGTAAATGTCGCTTGATCTGAGAATAAAATATTTTAAAAAAAGATTAAGGTTGTTCAAAAACTCTCCCTGACACCAACAGTATTATTCCAGCCGCCTTTCTTCATCTCCTTCTTCAATTGTATGTAAGAAAACAGGCTTGAAAGGACGTAATTTATTTCGAGGGAAGCATCGCCAAATTGTATCCTTGGGTACATTTAAAATTGTGGACATTCTCCTTAGGCTACACCTTGGACTTTTTCTCACAAACTGAAGAATTTCTGCATCTCATGATCCCTCACACGTTGTTCTTGTTTGTACACACTTTGCCAGTTGAATTAAATAAATTATTAATTCGCCAAACTTTTACATGGTCTATTGGGGGTCGATCTGGATGCCGATTATTAAATTCTGTAGCAGCTTCCCTCGCTGTACCAGAATTATCACCAACTAATCTAACAATTTCCACTTTTTCCGCAGTTGTAAGCACTTTAATTGAAATAAAATATGCTAGAATACAGAAAATCAGGCAGAATGCCAACAGATTTACTTGACAACTAATCTGACATGTACAAAATTGTCTTTTAGTAGAAACAAAGGAGTCAGAGCATGCTTATCAAAACGAGAAATTTGAGACTGGAATTTTTTCATCAAAACCTTTTTAGAATTTAACAAAACTTCGGATTCAGGGTTTTTGAATGATTTCGAACAAGTTTTGTTAATAAAATTTTTTGATTAAAAGGCATGATTTTTTGATTTCTTTTATATAATTTAGCTTCGTAGATGGCCTTGCATTTAAAGGTGGACAGTGATTTTGTAATCTTAAATAGACCTTGGTGACCTTTATCTTTTGAGACCAGTTTGATTTAAATCGGACAAAAAAATAAAAGAATTATTACGCTGTTACTGTTTTAAATGAGACACACTGTCGAGGTAATATCTATTGAGTTAAATTAGCATTTGTCGTTAACATAAATAAGTTTCTGTTGCGACAAAAGGTAATTTATTTTCACCTAAAAAAATGTATTGTGTCACCACATCCTCATGTTTAACCAAAAAGAAATACATGCCGTTAAATATCTTGCGACGCATTTTAGCAATTTTGGAAGAAGTTGATATTTTTAAAAAAGTCGAAATATTCCAGACTTGTGGCCCTCTTTTTGTATTATGCTCTCGTTAAAGAAATATTAGTGCTGCATACATCAGATATTTAATTTTTTTTTTTAAGATATTCGTTGATGTCTTTAATAATAAATAAACAATAAATTTCTTAATGTGGTTTCGTGGTCGAGTGGTAAAGATACTTACCTCTCACCCTGGAATCCCAGGTTCGATTCCCGGTCGAGGAGCTAAACCAGAAATTAATCCTAGCATATTCGAACTTTGGGAGTATGTTCATTGTATATAAATGTGTTGCCCTCTCCCACACAAGGTTCCTTGAGGTACCTTTAGAGATACAGGGGGTTGTATTACCTGTGGTGTTTAATTTTAATAAATAATAAATAACAATTACTGCCTCCATACTAAATATGATCTGAAAAAAATTGCGTTATGTAAACTAATACTTCTGTGACTTGAGTCCCATATCAGGAACATATACATATTCATTTTATTGATACTAGAAATATTTACACTTTTAAATTTTAAGTATTTTATTGACCAAATGGCAGAAAATTACAGAGACGCCTCTTACGAAAATAATTTTAAATTTTTTGTTACAAAATAAATTTATTTATTTGTTTTCTTAACTAATATTTTTTTTATTTTCAGGTAAGTTGATGATATATCTATTCTGCATATAAATAATGAACGGACATAATTCATAAAATGGTAAGTATCTTACACATAAATCAAAATTAATTTACTAGTAAAGGGACAATAAAAATTAAAATACCTGTATATTGCAATAGAGAGGTAAGGTTAATTTACAAATAGTAATAAGTATTCAAGGTAATACCTAAATACGAGCTACCAAAGTTGCAATACAATTTTATTAATTGAAGATCAAATAAGGTTGTGACACATATTTCTTGATGATTTATAAATTTGTATCATATTAAGCTTTAATAAATAACAATAATAATAATAATAGTAATAATAATAATAAAACGTTTATTTCCATGGACTTTTACAAAGTATTATAATACAGTCAACTGGACAATAAAAATATAAAAGCTATAGATACCAACATTTTTTAAATACAAATAGCAATAAAATATAAAAAAATTATGTATATTGTAAAACACAATAGATTGAAATATAGACGCTAACAATACAAAAAAAAACAAGATTAAGATAATATTTCTTCTCTTATCAGTTGTTATCGATAATATCAGTGCTTAAGTACTCATCAACCTAGTAAAATGGATATTTGAATAAAAGTGGTTTTACTTCTTTCTTAAAAAGATGATTGACGTTGGTAACTTATTAAACAATTTTATGGACATTTGGGACCTTTTGGTACTATGGATAACCGTATAAGCTGATATGTTCAAGCTGTAATTTTGTCGCAGGTTATGGCCACTACTAATGCAAGTGTCATTTCTACTGCTAAACTGATTAAAATTAGTTTTTATATACATTACGCAATTTAGAATGTATAGCGAGGGAGCAGTTAAAATTCTCAGTTCGCTGAAAAGAGATCGCACGAATGTCGGGAAGATTTAAAGAATATTGTTCGTACAATTGTTTTTTTGAAGTGTAAACACTTCGTAAGTTAATTACAGTTGCCCCAGCAGGCAATACAATAATTCAAACAAGACTGAACATTAATACATTTTTAAAATCACCATATTTACAGGAGAGCGTAGTTGCCAAATAACAAAGCAATGAGTAGATAATTTGTTACAAACTCTATATGATTTCCCCAATTTAAGAGAGAATCCATATGAAATCCAAGAAATTTAACGTTATTATGTCACAGAGCAATTACCAATTTTAACTAACAGTCTGTAATCAAGTGTTCTAGTAGAAAAAACGAATAAGTCAGTTTTTACATTATTGAGACCTAAACCTGTGCACAGCATTTCTGCATATAGCTTATGGCTTTAGTAGCTTTAAAGCTGAGCTCGTTTATATTATTTGAGCAGACCGCGATGGTCGAGTCATCAGTAAAAGATTTTTACCAAATAAATGGAATTCCTTCTTGAGGCCGTCGCGTATACCATTCGCAGACTGGTTTCTGGATATTGCCCTCGTCAGTGCGAAGTAGATACACGCAACGTCAACAAGGAGTATCTCAGAATCATTAGTCTCTATGTGATAGTAGAGTACTAACGAATTGATGGTATAGTTTATTGTTTGAATCTTTACTCGTATATCAAGTTGTGTATGATCTGCTCGTGTACTACTATATTACAGCAATGCATTTATAATATCAACAAATACAGTAATACTATGTATAAATGAAACGTTGTCCAGTACTCCTCCATGCTCAAAGGTACAGTTGACCTTCCTATTTATTTTTGATTATTTCATTAATGCGACTACTCATTGAGACACACAGAGATCCAAACAACAAAGTATAACTCCATCTACCAGTGTGAATCGCAATGTAATAAATTGGAAATATGCTACGACACAACGATCTTTAGATATTAATGATGTTCGTCAGGCCTTTGTTAGGAGCGCCTAAAACCTGAAACACGAACCTTCTACTGCGCATGAGCTAATTTGACGTTTTTAAGCTATTTCTTTCAACTTTAGGTATTCTTAAATGTTCAATATCTTTATTATGTTTATAGTGACTTTTATACCAAATAATTTTCAATTTTCCAATTTCTTCTTTAATAACTATCTGACTTGTACATGAAAAATTTAGTTTGCAAGACCCTTGTGATTTTGTTAACCGTTTACCTTGTTTGGTTTTGTACTTCGATCATATGATCGAAGGTTTTGTAGGTGTAAGCACTTCTATTACAGTTGTAGTAAGTTTTTGTTTTTTTGAGTTCCAGCCTGCTTGCAATAATTTACATTTTCTTTTAAATGTGTAGAATCCAACCATTCATGAAATTCTAATAAAATAATTAGTTTTAATTGATATGATCCCCATATGATAAGTCGTATCATAAAAGGCTAAATAAAAATATTCTTACCTTTTATTTTATTAAACTCAAGTTCATCAATTTTATTTTCAAATCCATGTTCCGAAACTAAGTGATAGCGTAAATGGCTTATATATCGAAATGAACATTCCTTGCAATCTAAACATTTAGCTTTATATTTGTTAAAATCATACGATATTACATTTTTGTCTACATTATGTTCTTTTTTTAAATGTTTATTAAGAGATTGCTGGTGGCTGTAAACCTTGGAACATTTTAGGCACATAACCCCCATAATGAAATATTTATTTTCTAATATTGTTTTAAACAAACAAAATTCACACTGGTAATTCGTTCTTGAACTTCAAAACCAAGTCAAGAAGTCAAGTGCAAACGCAAACCGCAAATCACAAGGCCATTTGATCAACTGTCGCATGCGCAGTAGAAGGCTCGTGTTTCAGATTTTAGGTGCTCCTCCTTTGTTAGGCTGACGAACATCATTTACGGTTTCTAAAGGTCACCTTTGTCTGCCACTTGACTTTTCTTTTTTAAACTTGCAGTCTCTAGGAATTACTTTTCCCATTGACGAATTAAGTTTCTATGAGACGGTTGTCTGCCAGTTGCTTTTATAAAACGACTTTGGGCAAGAACAATTGAGCAAGTTTTTTTTACATAAATTCACCATATGCACTTTTTCTTGCGGTGAGGTGATTTTTCTTTCATCAGTTGACATAAGCTGTTTGACAATATTAAAACAAAAATTCATAGACTACTTGATGTAATTTGTAAATTATTTCAATATGTTTATTAGACAATGAATTATAGCAACTTTATTTTCCACTGTTTATTTTCGATCACGTGTTAATTCATGACTTATTTGGAGTAAGAAATATCAAAAATGTTCTATTTAAACTACATCGTCTCTCCATGTGAATAAAAATAATCTGAAGCAATAGAATTGGAATCATGCGGAATTAGTAGGAATATATGAGTTTTAAGTCACACCTGGTGCACACTTAACGATCTGTCAGATATAATTTTAGAAAACGACTCATGGCGCCATTAATATAACAACATTTCAGTAAAATACCATTTTAAATCTCAGTGTTCTATCTGAAAAATCTATTTTCAACATTATTCAATAACTTGAACGAGTAATTCATGATAAGTATGAAAAACCTGAAATATACAATATTTGAAATTTGCTATAAACTAATTTACTCATTTATTTATCGGTGTTAGGATAAATAAATCTCAAATCTGCAAAATATTATTTTCTTTCTCCTAATCAAGGAATTAATTTTAAAATTTTAGTTTTTTCATTCAGATTCAAAAAAATAAAAAATAGAAACTTTATTTAACATAGTAAATTATAAAATAAAAAATGTTATGAAACAAGACAAAAGTAATACAAATAAAATATTAACAAAAAGAAATTTAAACAAATAGATATTAGTAGTAGTAGTAGCTACGTATTTTACTAGGCAAGTAGGCCACAATGGGCCCTTTTTACCTAGGGACCTACAGTTTAGCGTGGACTCCGAACCACGGTCTTCGACTGTCAACTAACCCACCGCCTGGGCCTGCCCGCCTGCACCGCTAGCAGAGTGGCAAACCCCCTGGGTAGGTCTCTTCGACCCTGCACCCGGGCTCGCCACTCCACCTGCATCAGGCTAGCGGCCTTCCCGGGATTGTCTGTTGACAGCCTACCGACTGTTAGACGAGTTAATAGATATTATGTAAAAAATATTTAATAACAATTTTATCATTAACTGAAAAATATTTAAAATAAATAATAAAATAAAAGGAAATAAAAACTATAATCCTGAAGTGGGTTGGAACCTTTGGTGTGAAGATAAAAATGACGTAGATTTCCACAAAACACCAAAACACCATATACTAAAGTTGGCAAAATGCGCGTCGAGTGCAGTATATGGTGTTTAGTGGAAAACTACGTCAGTGTTAAAAAATGTAATAAGAAAATAAAAGTCCCATATTTAATACTCCTATAATCTCTATTGTTTCGTTCCCATTTTTTTCATTTTTTTTTATCAATCAATTGCTAATATTCTTTCCAGCGGCGCGGCGGCTGGTGAATTATAAGATATGTCATATCTTATATCTAATAATTGGGATATGGGTTAGGTTAGGTTAGGTTTTTGTGAGTGGGTCCTTATTGAATTCTCCACTGCGGCCATCAGCAGGCGTATTGTCACTCATTGCTAATTATATTTCACCCAATAAGTTCAGTCTCTTAATGAAACTGATAACTTTATTGGGTGAGAATCTGTCCAGATCCTCTAGTAGCAGTTGC